CATTGCATAGATACTTGAATGTGGATGTCAACAATTTCATTTAGTAATATCGAGAAAAGGACAGAGGACAACTTTTACTGTAACGTACTACTTATGGATAAAGTCTGCAATAATGACTTTGACATACCGGTATTCTGTTGACTATGCAACCAGCATTGTTCTATTAATTATAACAAGAGTAAATAATGCGGAACGTGACTTCCTAGAAATCCACACACTTGTAGCAGGCCTCAATAGGGCCATTGGATACTCTTTGTAGGTATTATTTACTCTTGATTATAATCATACTTGATAATGATATTCAGTGTTATTGTGGTATGTTTCAGTAAATGGTCTTGTGACTTTTAGATTGTTTAGTTGGTCAATCCTTACAATTATATTGGTTTACAATTATACTTGTCTCTCATTCATTTTCTGATGAAAATTGTCGTTTAAAAAGGTCATCATTATTTTAAAATTAAAAAGGCTAGCAGTAAACAAAATAGCTACTAAAAAACTCAGTTACACAGCATTGCATGTACATGTATGCAATTCTCATGTTTAATTTTTGCTATCAGTCGAAGGCTGATCTTTCTTTACTTTTCGTGTAATAGCTATTGCAATACTAGTAATAATAATAGCCAGGCCAGCACCAATCCCAGCCCCCACTGCAGCTCCTGTTATTGTACCTGCTACTGGAATAACTGACCCTACTCCTCCTCCTATTGCTCCACACACAAATAATCCAACCGCAGTAGTACCACTCATAGTTCCTGCTTCTATTAGCATTCTGTATTTTGCTATGAAATTGAGAAACTCGCCAACGTCTTCACTGGAACGTCCTATGCATTGGTTCCACAGCTCTTTCAACCAGTCGTCTGTTGTTGGTAATCTTCTCACGTCCTCATCCCCAGCTATGCAGAATGGTATCTCGCTTATCATCTCCTGTTTTATTTTTTGTCCCTGAGGAATCCATGAACGTATCTTTTGAATTCGTTTATAGCATTTCTCACTGCTTCTGCTTCATTGGGCAATTTTTTAATACTTTTTAGTTGAAGAAAATAGTTTGCAAACGTCAGTACAACCACTGATCTCATCCACATTTCCTTATTTATCATCCCCCAAGTACATCAAACATTCTTCTAACTTTATCATCTGCTCTTGAGTCCATCCTCATGCAGATTAGTATCAAATCAAACTTGTTGGCTTTGGCGATGTCTTTAACGATATCAGCCTCACTATGACCCTCTGTGTCACTGAAGCCCGTAGTATCATAAACTTTTATTGTTATTCCCTCATGTTTTCCTTCATGTATTTCAACTTCAGACTGTACAGATGCTGCTCCTGCACCTACTGGTGCTACAGTGCCTCCC